ACTATGATGTGACTTCCACGTAAGATCTTATAGGATAATTAGTCACATCATGACAAATCTACAATATTATGATTAAGTCTATTATTAGAAAAATAGTAACAACGCACTTGTGCCATAATTCTACAAGGACAACTCTGTTGACCAGGATAGATAACTGAATCTTCTTGAGAATATTCTTGTTTGGTCAGTCATGCGTTATGTCTTCATCCGCCATACACCAAACCTTTAGGCTATCATCTTGGCTAAGGTTTAGTGCTCACAAACTCATCAACAATAGGCTTATCGACTGCATGACAGCATGGAATCTAGGGGTTTTGTCCATACAAACTAGAATTTCATTCTTTAATCAGTGTTATTCAGTTGTTCGAAGTCTGCACGCACCATAGCTGGAATGGAATATCAGAAAAAATGGTAAACGGAATTACCAATGTTTTTGTTGTCGCAACTGATTTTTGTGACTCTCAAGCACTTCTAGCAAGTGCAACGGGTTGGAGCTTTCAAGTGACATTGATAAATCTGTACGCCAAGTGATTGTTTGTCATATCTCCTCAGTTAGTGCTTGGTTGAATTAGCGGGCTTATGTTATTATTATTTGACAGTAAGTCTGCCAATCATAACAGTTTCTATTTGTCACTAAGCTTCTGTCAGTTTCCAATTTCCGTTTAACTCCAGCTGAAATTATGGGGTTGGTTTCTAACATCTTCCAGTTCACTATCGGTTTTGAGTTTCTTATTTGATCTGATACTAATTGAAAATTAGTTTGAGTTTAACTTCAGAAATTTTTGCTACGAGCGAGTATTCCTTATTTTATGGTTCTGTTTGTGGAGAAATATCGACATTTGTCTGTTAGCTGACTGAGTAATCATTCAATAGATACTTCCGTTTTGTCTGGTTAACTGCTTGTTGATAATGAAGCAGATGTTGGGACTAGTCACTTTTTAAATTGAATCTGTGGAATACAACGACAGACAGAATAAATTTGATCTGATGGATTTTATAGAGATTTTGGTTCTTGAACCACACGATCCTTGAAGCAGAACGCTCATTCAACACTTAAAACTTGGAGGTCAGAAGCGGTGAGCGTGAAACATTTAGTTAGTATGGCATGGCTAGGTGATGGAGACGCAGTCACTCTATGGAACTTATCTCTTTTCATACCAAACATATCATTCCATCCCTTCGAAAGTGTTAAACGTTATATTGCTGCTTATCACGTAGGATGAGTCGGTATGGGGAATTCTGTGACTTCCATGTTAGATCTTACAGATTAGGTAATCAAATCACAACAAATCTGTGATTTTGGGATCAGGTATATTATTTTAGTGCCAAAGACTAAATGTAAATGAAACCAACCCAGACCATATATCAACAAGCTCTCTGTTTTTTGGATGCTTGTTGTGCTAGTATAAAAACTTTGCGGCTAACAGATAAGTGTCAATAGCTGAACATGATAGGTGTAATGAAGAAAGTGGACAAACCTCTTCCTACAGGCACATAAAATGGATAAGTATCAATGGAAACATGAAAGATGTAGGGACTGGAGCAAGAACTTTCGCTGCTTAAGAGCCGATTTAATCAGATGCGGCTTGGTCTTTGAGGTTTGCCGACATGATACATAACATAACAGGTCTTAGTCACTCTGTAATTTACAAAAAAGTGGCTGTTGAGCAGGTTGCTAAAGTGGAAAATATATATACTGAATTTGTTGTGTAGTGAGAGTTATTATTTGTATGGTTGTGGTAAACTAGTCAGTTCACATGTATAACAAAGGTCAGGGTGAAAGAAATCACCATGTTTGAAATATTCCAAAAGTGGACGTGTGGGTAAAAATTGCAAGCTACATATGATGAAAAATCACCGATAATTGAAGGTTCAAAATGAAAACTCTGAGGAAAATTAAGTTAGCTGTTTGAGGGTTGCAATTAATCTCAGTACAATGTCAAAAATCTAAAGTTTTCTTGGTAGTCACTCCATACAGGAATTACGGCCATCTGTCGTACAGTATATAAATAAATGACTCCCAAATAAACCATCGTTTATTTGTGATGGCCAGTAAAATGATCTACGGACTAACAACGTAAGCTCTTCAGCGCAGCTGTGCTATGGATTGATTTCGCCTAGGATAAGACGTTTAACATAACGCCCTACAATTCGGGTCAGTGGATTAAATCTTTCATTTCACCACAGTTTCTTTCAAGAATTACGCGCAAATAAACAAGCGCATTCCTGTATTTTAAAATGAAATTCTCTCATGACACTCACTTAATTACGCCTGTTACTCCCAATGGAGCATAAGCCGCCGACCAACATTCTCCATCCCACTCTGTCGTGGGCCTTCTTTTCTAGTTCCATCCAATCCTTGTTCATTTTTCTCATGTATATCTCCATTTTCCAGCGTAATGTATTCTTTGGTCTTCCTCTTTTCCTTTGACCCTCAGGATTTGCCTTGTGACGCAGCTGGGTGCTTTCCTCAATTCGTGTCCTATCCACTTTCAGCGTTTCTTCCTGATTTCTTCGTCCGCTGGAATCTGGTTTGTTCTCTGCCACAGTAGGTTGTTGCTGATAGTGTCTGGCCAACGGATCCGAAGTATTTTGCGTAGACAACTGTTAATAAACACCTGTATCTTCTGGATGATGGCTTTCGTAGTTCTCCAGGTTTCTGCCCCATATAGTAGAACTGTCTTGACATTTGTATTGAAAATTCTGACCTTGGTGTTGGTTGACAGTTGCTTTGAGTTCCAGATGTTCCTCAGTTGTAAATATGCTGCTCCTGCTTTGTCGATCCGCGCCTTCACATCTGCATCAGATCCATCGTGTTCACCAATGATGCTGCCTAAATATGCAAAGGTTTTTACAACTTCCAAATCTTCTCTGTCAAGTGTGGTTTCATTGGTGTGTGTTGTGTTGTATCGGAGAATCTTGTTTTTCCCTTTGTGTATATTGAGACCTACCGCTGCTTAGGCTGCTGCCACACTGGGATAGAAGGGCCAGATCATCTGCGAAGTCTAGATCGTCCAGCTGCATCCTAGATGTCCACTGTATCCCGTGTTCCCCTTCAGATGTTGACGTCTTTATGATTCAGTCGATCACCAGGAGAAAGAGAAAGGGTGAGAGTAAGCAACCTTGTCTGACACCGGTCTTTACTTCGAACGAATCTGTGACTTGTCCTTCATGCACGATTTTTAAGTTTAATCCATAATATGAACTCTGTATGATATTGACTATCTTTTGAGGCACGCCGTAGTGTCGAAGAAGCTTCCATAGTGTTGTTCTGTCCACGCTCTCAAATGCTTTCTCATAGTCAATGAAGTTGATGTAGAGTGATGTATTCAATCTAATTGATTGTTCCACAATTATCCGTAGAGTTGCGATTTGGTCTGTACACGATCGACCCTTACGGAATCCTGCCTGTTGGTCTCGAAGTTGGGCGTCTATGGAGTCCTTTTTTCCAGTCTGTTGGTACTTGTTCCCCATCCCAAATCTTATTGAAGAGAATGTGGAGTATCCTTGCAGTTGCCGCTACGTCTGCTCTTAGTGCCTCTGCTGGGATGTTGTCCGGTCCTGCTGCTTTGCCACTCTTGACTTGTCTGATGGCCATGCTAATTTCTTCAATTGTTGGTGAGCCAACATTGATTGAGAGGTCTGTGGGCGCTGCTTCGATGTTGGAAGGGTTCAGTGGAGCTGGTCGGTTCAAGAATACTTTGAAGTGTTCTACCCACCTGTTTTGTTGCTCTTCAATGTTGATGATTACCTCGCCTTCCTTGCTTTTCACTGGTCGTTCTGGTTTGTGGCGATTTCCAGAGAGTTTCTTTGTCGTGTCATACAGTAGTCTCATGTTTCCTTCTCTTGCACCTTTTTTCGCTGTCATTGCTAAACCTTCCTCATATTTACTTTTGTCAGTTCTGATGCTTCTCTTCGCTTGCTTGTGTATTCAGCTTGTGCCTTGGCTTTTTCTGCTCTTGTTCGACTGGTATTGATTGCCGTCTTCTTTTTCCTCCTTTCTTGAATCATATCCAGTGTATTAACTCTCGTGACACAACCAAGTAAAAATTACAAATTGCTGCATAAGCTTTTCGGGTGATTTCATCATCGAAATTTACACGTTGTTCGGAAATTTCAGTATTGATTATTTCCCGGAGAGTAGCTCTGATCATATTACCGGGTAAAACACTGAAGTTATTTCGAATGCAGCCGCTGCGACTACTCCAATTGTAATCGTTACATTTAATGCCTGCTTTATTATTGAGCAAACCAATTGAAAAAACGGCAGTAAGCCGCTCTAAATCCAGCACTCTCACGGCGAAACAATAAGCGCTTATGTGCTCAGTGGTCTTCGTGATCTAAAAAACCGAAGTTAGTAAAATTGTGCATCAACACATATTTTTCTGCTTCTCCAGCGTTTAATGAGTCAATAGAAATTTTTAAGCGACATTCGTCGGTCCAAAGACCTTCATAATCATGAAGATGGTCACTGGGAATCAAGTGACTAGACTCACTACACTGAACTGTGCAGAAGACTTATGATGCTCCACGAAGACCAATGAAATTTGCAACAGATCATCATAAACCCGAGGCAATTCTACATACTAGTGGTTTAAAATGTTCTAAAAGCATGCCACGTTAAAATCCTGTCATATTGGTTATATTCGTATTATCAAACTTTATATGATTGGCCAGGCAACACTTCAGTAACGGAGCGATCTTCGAATAATTTTCGCTGCTTTGTAAGTGATTTCCTACTTAGCAGGGTGGTCCTATCATATGAGCATTTAGATAATCATTGTTTTAAAAAGTTTGAAAGCCGATTCATCTTATTTTTTGCATGGGTATTGTATGCTGTCTTGTTATATCTTTTAAATGCAATAATACGATATTGTATAGTAGAATCCTCTTTATTTAGGCAGTACATTTTTCTTATACATTTTCTGCAGACTAAACGTCGAGATTTATCTTCGAGCCTTGAAGCTTCACTGGCACCCCCTGATATTTTAATTTACAACATGGTCGAAGAAAAGTTCAAGGTTTTAACATTTAATTGCTGGTTTGTGAAGATTTCTGTAGTTGATCTTTTAGGGCCGTGTTTTTCCCGTCTCCGACTGTGAGAAAAGAAGACCGTGTTAATGCGATTACCGCGAAGTTATCAGTCGGGGATTTCGACGTGATTTTACTTCAGGAGGTAGGTAGGTGTACTCGTTGAACTAGCTTTTGGCAGATTTGGCTGGAATCAGATTACAGAAAGCTCCGAAACATTCTGGATGAGAAGTATCCATACTCTAATTACTTCTATTGGTATGTATTCGATAGAGTCATTTAATTGTTTCCTAGCAACCTTATAGGAACTGGTATGTGCATATTTTCAAAATGGACTATAGAATGTGTGTTCACACATCCCTTTACTACTAACGGATATCCTCATCTTATTCACCAAGCTGATTACTATTGTGGCAAAGGTATTGGGTTAGCCCGGATCACAAGCAAAGAAGGATTTAGGATTAACTTTTATGTAACCCACGTAAGATTTTTCTCTCTTTAAAAATAGGTTTGATTAACTGGATTTTATTTGATAAAAAGTTTGTAGGTTTTGTTAAAAAGTACTCATATAGTTAGATCTCTCAGAGTTTGTTGAACCTGAAATATTCCAAACTAATCAAGTTACAAAGCAGGCATATATTTCTGTTTTACCTGGGACAGTCGCTTAAGTATCAAGAATTTTATTAGTAGTATCCCCTTCTAATGCATCAAAACGACAAAGTTTGGTTATGAATGGTCAGCAGTTTTTTGATACAATCAGTTCCAATTCTTTTTTGTTTCATAATTTTCAAAAAGTTGTGCCTTCATTGCATTTCATTCATTTTCCACTGCTTTCTAATGAAGCATCGTCCATTTCTTTATTTAATGGGTGTTCTATGGACATCTCATTGTATGTAGAGAAGACGTACTGGAAACTCGGGTCATTCTTGTCTATCCAGATTTTGCGACATTATCAGTCCTATAATTATACAGCTTTTGACTCATATAAAAAGTAGATCTTTGTAATAAGCTGTTTTTCCTTATTGCAATTGTATTATCCAGTGTTTTTGATAATCCCCATTTAAACGTCGTTATTTTCAAACAGTTTAGTTTTAATGCCTCTAAGTTTGAGCAAATATGAATTTATCATGGAATGGCCTGCTATGAATACAATAAGCTTGTTTACCAAAACCATTTCATTTTATTAAACAATACAGAATCATGCGCATGTTCTTGAAATGTATGGATTGTGTAAGATTTGGCGAAACAACAGGGGCACTGAAACCAAAACATGGGAATTAGCGTTCTAGCTTGGTAGCTAAACGTAAACTTCAAGTTGCTGTGACACTAATGGGAGACAATTAGTAGGGTTACTGAATCTTTGAAATCATTCAAGATTTGTCAAAGTTATTTTTTTTAGGGATAACACCAAACTTCGCTTCTCTTACTCGACGTTTTTGCAAATGATATTTCTCAACTAATGACTTGATGAGGCATGTGTTAGCGGTAAAAGTGTTCATATCTCGGTGAGACTGTAAATTATGGAAGACCTTTGCGCGGCACTAAAGTGACCTTGAGAGTCTCCACCTAATAACGGACCAAATGAAGGTTATAAACCAGTGTGAGGATTAGGATTGGCAGTCGATGGTTGAGGTTAGGAATTAGATTTAGGATTTTCATCACGAACTGACATCAGCTTTAATGTCAAAACTCTAGTCAAATGAAAGTGAATTTCGCGCCGAAATCCAAGATTTATTATCTTATACCTGATTTGTTCGTTCATAAACTACAGTTTCGCTTATATCTCCTCATTAGTATAAGATCACGTATACTAAATTTTTTGATTGAGATCCTGAACCGATTGATGTTGGACCACCTTTGGAAACCTGGAAGCACTGGACGGCCGTCTCGTCCTATTGTGGGACTCCTCAGCAGTGCGCATCCACGATCCCGCTCGCGGGATTCGAACCCAGGGCCTTCGGTCTCGCGTGCGAACGCTTAACCTACTGGACCACTGAACCGGCATCCAGTGGTGATAGTGTATAACATCAACCAATCCACGAAATTGCGCGACCAACTTCCATTGTACTGAGGTAGATATCTGTCTCTACCCGACATGAACTAGCTCGACTGATCACGGCTTCTCACTAGAACTCCGAGAATTCCCTCACGAAGCTAGTCACTAGTGAGCACATGTTGATTACTAGTATATGGGTTGTGGAGATTATTAAGTTTTTGATTGAGAACATGAACCGATTGATGTTAGATCACCTTTGGAAACCTGGAAGGTGGTCTAACATCAATCGGTTCATGATCTCAATCAAAAACTTAATGATCTCCACAACCCTTATACTAAATTTGTTTGTTTGATTGGTAGTTATTTTTAAAAATCTTCCTCAAACACAACATAGTTATCTAGGTTATTTATTACTTGATGGATACTGCTACAATCAGAAAAGCATCAAGTTTGCACGCGTCTCTTACTTAAGACAATTCTGTCGGAGGACTTGACTGGATGAGACAGATTAGTAGATGTTTTATCCCTCAGTCTTTTATATGAGTCAGTAATTGATTTCAGGTACGAATAGTCATTTTTAATTCTCACACTATGTAGAGTATTATATCGTTTATCTACTTAGGTAGAAACTAGTAGAAGGCGTTTCAAATCATTTAATAACCATAGTTTGCTCATAACTTGTTTGCGTAGTTATAGAATATTTATGATGCTTTAGGCATACAACATGAAAGGTATGTTTTCGTCTTATACGTCCATCCCCTGTTGACAGCAATTTCCTGCAATGACAATCTGAATAGATTACGCTGATTGATTATAATTTGTTGAACTTTAAAGCGATCAGTTCCTTTGATAAATTTTGATAATGTAATAAGACGAAGATTATCAGAATTATGTGATATATTAGCGCAATACATTTCGAACAATCTGATCACACATATACTTGTTAAGGGCATTTATATATAAAATATAAAAGGTCAACTAGACTGGAAATGGGGTAAGAGGAGATAAGGATAATAATAAGAGAAATAATAATGTCAACACAATTCGAAACCTAATCATTCTGGATAATAAGTCAATATTACCAGGGTAGGTTTAAGGTAAGAACAAACTGTTTTTTGAACACACAAAGGGGGTTTGACTAAGGCCTCAATAAACCTTAGTATACGCCCTTTTACACTTTTATACAAAACCACAAAAACCGAGTTTAGACCAATCTTATGGCCTGTTTCAATTATATGTTTAGCAATAGACGATGATGGATGTTTATCCTCTGCTCTTATTGGGTCACTTGATTGTATTTGTTTCTGCAACCATTTCGGTACATGTTGACACTAATTTTGAGATCACGATTGCTCCTCTCTATGTATGTGTAACCAAATACACGTTTAAATTGGTAAACACAGATTGTTCAAAATGTATTGCGCTAATATATCACAATTCTGATAATCTTCGTCTTCTTATTACATTATCGAAATTAGTTGAACATTGTGAAATTTGTCAAATTGTTTTTAGCTGTGTGAGAAAACGTAATTTGTCTGTTTTGTTTTACCGTAACAAGAAATTTGAGGATTTTTTGAGCCATCGAATAAGTTTAGTAAAAACAGTTGGCTGAATACAGATTGGACCGAAATGGACATATTATGTTGTGCATAAATCAAATTCATTTACACGGTTTATATAATAGCAATCAAAATTATGTTATGAATTTAAAAGTTTCACACATTAAAATAATTTTGATGAATAGCCTGGATATTCCTTAAGGCGAAGTATATAAATATAGAGGACTTGTTAGATTTTATATGGAGCATTCCTTATATGTCATTCCAATATAACGGTAAGGCAGTGAATCTCCTGTTAACGTAATGCATTGAGTATATGAAATAAAACCTGTCAATAGTTATAGTTTATGCAGTATTATAAATAATGCGGAAAATATAGGATAGACTAGTTGAAATTCTAATGATGTTTAGTAGTGGTATTTTCAAAAAAAAGATTATGTGACATAAATAAAAAGTTTTGATTCTTCAAAACTGGTAATTAATAGTTAAAATGGGATCCAATTTTCTACATTGCATATTAGTACAAAACAGGAAATCAACAATATGTGAAGTAGAAGAGGTACAATAAAGTTAAACACATTAGAAATTTAAATATAGAAAATACAGTTTAAACAATGAGTGAAGAATAAAAACTATGAATTAATAGTGACTGTTTATTTCAAATAATCTGTCAAAATTAAAAGAACGACGTTTACAATTTGTATGCCTACATCAATTAAGCGCTATTAATGCTCTGCTTTGTTTATTTCTATATTTGTAATTTATTCAAAATAATATCATAGAATCTTCAGTGGTCTCGATTTCTTTCTATAATAAAAATAATTTATTATTCAAAAGTTATATTTAGTGGTACGGACAACACCTACCAAGAATTTGTATAAATTATCTTTCCTGAGATCTTTTAATAATATTTTTATTAAAGTATATGTTTAATTAATGACTAATTGGTATTTATGGTACTCATAATCCACCTACAGTTTGGCATACTCTACTTCAAACTGATTAAGCCAAAATAGACAGAACTTGTGACCTGGTTGGATGTTGTATGTTTCAGCCATCAGACTATACCTTAGTGTCTATTCATTTTGTCCTCTTTTATGAGAATAAATAAAACAAATAGCGAACACTAATATAGCTACCTTAATATTCATAAGTTTACGTGCGAATTCAGGTTTAGTTAAGTACAGCAGTACTCATCGAACTCTAAATGTTTTGTAATGATGATGATTCGTTTGTTAACAAAGCTAAGTTATTGTGTTTGAGTTTAGAGATGTTTACGGTTTTCATGCTCACCTTGAAATCAGAGGTCTGCAAGTGTAATTTTCACAAAAGTCATAGGCTTAGATACTATGCAATAAGAAGTTAGGCTACTCCTTACTTTTTCGTTATTTAGCTGCTCTTTGACTGCCATTAATTTACCGCAAAAACTTGTACCTTTAAATTGGTATATTCAAATTTAACTTTCTAAACCTTTAATAAGATATGTTTTGATTGAACACATTTTAATCAAGACATTCAAAATATCATCCCTTTGGTAACTGAAATGATTATTGGATTATGTAATACATCCCTTAGAATCCATGCACGCAAGCGAATATATAAAAGCTCTGCAATACCTTACTTAGCAAATAAATTATGACGAACAGGTTGTAAAAGCTGACGTAGTCAATAACGTGTATTCCTAAACATGATTCTAAGTCAAAGTTATACAGATTCTAATCTCATTAAAAGATATTTCATTTAGTTCCATTTAGTTTATTAACCTAGTTTATGTCTGTATTCAAGTGTCGTTTTTTTGGAAAGGAAACTTGTTGAATTGTAACTTTAGAATTGTATTAAACGTAGAATATTGAATAAAGCCATTAATAATAACAATAGGTTAGTAATATCTCAATGAGTAGAAAATTGTACTTCTGACGTTTCATAACTTAATTCAAGTTACTTCTTCAAAGTAAATAAATAGACGAAATAAAATTAACACAATTTTAAACGATACGAATAATAATAATATTTTTATTCTAAATAAACTTCGATAAATGTTAAATTTTTCTAAACATTTTTCCTTTTTTACTCGCATAATTAAAATAATATTAGTATCTAGTCAGATAATCAATATATCATATGACTGATGAGCTATATAATAATGACACTTTTCTAAAGCAATCATTTTTTGTGTGATTTATGCAATTATAATTTTACCAACGAACTTGCCAGGTATGTATATATCTATTATTTACAGTGTAATTTTATTTAATAGATTAATATGATCTTAAGTCCCAAGTGAATAGATTTATTTAGCATTATTTTATCTCTAACATATAATACTGATGTATAAAGTCTGTGTTTAACAATGTTTGACCGGTTGAACTCCACTGGTCATTGCTTCTCACTAGAACCCTAGGAAATACCTCTTGAAGCCAGTCACTAGTGAGCGTATGATGATTATTATCAGAAAGGGGTTTTGTGGATAGTGTGGTATTTTAATAGTTGAGTTTATAAGTCAATTGAAGCTAGACCACCATGGTCTGTTGTGAGATAGTAACTCACTGAAGACTATGGTGGACAGTTGCTCAATTTCGTAGATTGGTTGAAGTTAGACATTAACACCGTTGGATGCCGGCTCAGTGGTCTAGACGTTAGGCGTTTGCTCTCGAGACCGATAGGTTCTGAGTTTGAATCCCACGGGGCAGGATTGTGGATGCACACTGCTGAAGAGTCCCACAACAGAACAAAATGATCGTCCAGTGCTTCCAGGTTTTTCATGGTAGTCTAGCTTCAATAGACTCATGACCTCAACTATTAAATTACTATAGTATTCACAAAACCTCTTTCTGATATCATTCTTTAAGCATTCATGATTTAATTATCAATTGATTTGAAGGATTTATGTGTTCTGTAATAACCACTTGTTTAATGAGATTCTTAAGATTTACTATTCAAATAAAAAGCTTTTGACATATTTTTGTCTTCTCCATTGTTATACTACTGAAATAAGGAGAGAATTGTTCTTCAATAATTTTGATAGTCGTGGATTTTGTACACTGGCAAAAGGCTATATTTTTTCCGTAATTTAAGTTCTACTGCAAAAAAATGAGGTTTGCATCACAATATTTTGAATGCTGTAATCACATGACCCATTTAATGGGTTAAAACAGTTAAAAATTAAAAAGAAATTATAAACTTTGTTGCTACAATTTGTGTTATTTTTGAAAATTATGATGATATCTGAACTCATATTAGTGGTACCTAGATATTGAGGTTAGTAATTATACTAGTGTTTATGGATTTCGGAAAAATGTTCATGATGTAATCACTAAAGCTGGTGAGTGAATATTTTCAGTCAAGCAACAACAGAAAAAAAGAAAATTCTAGTGTTCACTGAGTGAATGTACATTTGAATTTTTACTTAGAAATAACTGGTAGAGATTAAGTCAAAATTTTTATTTAAACACAGTTAAAGTATGTTGTCAGTAGTGTTGAAATAAAACCTAAATTTGTAGTCAAGCAAAGTAGATCAGTCGAGAATGCCATTAGAACTAAACTGAAGAAGCATCTCAGATACTTTTTGAGCATTAAAAAACTTCATTTATTCAAGTTTAATATTCTGATCAGAGTGACAATAAGTTGTTAATAGCTGAATTTCATCAGACTAGCGTGTTAATTAACCTTGTCATATCGGAATTTATTGACTCTTTGGTTCATATGTTCCGCGCTGTTTTTAGACTAACAGTCTTAAATGACAAATCTACTTTTATCGCAAAATATCTTACTTTTTTAAGTTTTGCAAGTTTAAATATAACCTGTTTGTTTCTTTCTATCAACAAACTGAACTGATTTACACTTATATAGTGTCATAATATTCAGTACATTCGACTAAATCATATTCTTTATTTAGACGATACAAGCCCTTACGATAGTTTCGCGAAGATATACTTTCCTACTTATTTCAGGTTTTAGTTTAAACGAAAATGGAAGGAAACCTTAGAGACTGGGATGTATTAATTAGTTCTTTAGTGGCTCGAGATCTGACTCGAGGTAGATTGTTTGCTGCTTGTCGTCGAAATATAGATGTCGTCAATCCTCGTATATAATCATCGACTTAACTGACATTAATGAGTAACGGGATTAAATAAGTGCAATACGGGAATGAATTTTTGAATACGCATATTTCGTACAATCGTTGATCGGAAAGCGAAGCAAAACGAAATGACACCAGGTGGAAAAGGCGAGTGATCCAACTCCATTTAGACATATGTGAATCGATATTTATAGTCAGACCAAAAATAAGACATGTGATAAGTAAGGTAAGTAATTAGCACACACATGACCATATAAAAAACAGTCCAGATAAGTGAACAAGTGACAGGTTAAAAATATGGCTTAGAAGAGTGAATAGATTGATCTGTCCAGAGACTAGAACAACCTATGTGGACTTCACATAGTACTAGCCTATACCATTCTTTTATTTGAATAGGCTATCGCAATCATCTGACTTGAAATACTCACATCTTTGATTTTTCGACATTGTTAAGTCATGTATAAAAGTTAGTGACCACTTATTAATAATGGTAACTAGTTGAACTAATAAATTTGTAAATAGAAGAATGTGATCAATCATAGTATTTTTTTAGAATTTGTACTCAAGCCTTTTAATTCAAATACTATTTTCTTGCAAATTAACTAATCAATGATCCAATGATAATTTCAACTTGGTTGTATACATATATATACTCATATTCAGTTGCTCAATTTTCTTTTTTTTCGAAATGTTATTTTTTCTGTTTCCATTCAAGTTAATTGCTCGTTATGAATTAGATCGTATGTTAGATAAATATAATGGACATCGAATATCTCAATTAGTTGAAATAATGGAATTTGTTCGCATGACATCCACTGGTTCTGATGCAATTATAGTTACTGGAGATTTCAATTTGGAATCGAATACTTCAGCTATTGAATTGTTTAGTACTTCATTAAAATTATCTGATGCATGGCTTAATAATGTAAGTTTGGAATATATATATGCTGTCTTTTTTCTTCAAAAAATGTTTTCACATGTTTCATTACTTGGTAATTATAAAAACCTCCTAGTTATTGTTCTTAATAGCGATTAACTTTAAGACAGATTTTTTGAACTATCAGTTGAATGTCGGGATTCATGGTGCTAACTTATTTATAAATAAGTCATTTACTGATGGAATTTCTTGATCACCGCTCTGTATGACGAATCGATTGAAATTAAAATGTAAGTGATTCTAAAGTATTGCACTTGCTGTCTAACTAAGATTATAAATTTTTAAGTAGGTATTACTAAGGAATTCTAAACGTCGACAAAACAGTTATCCAGTTTTCTCTAGTCTCTAACAGTTCTTGAACTACTGTTAGTTTATGATTATGACTAAATTTAAATAATCCATTAAATTAATTAATGTAAATATAAGTGGGAAAAGTTAATCAACTTAATTAACATTTATACTAGATGTGTTAAATATTATATTTCAAATGTTTATAAAGTTACAGCTGTTCAACCTTTTTTTTATAGCACATACATTTTTGTAGTAAATTTACTGTAAACCAATAGTTGAGTTACATAAAATAACATCATAGGTATGTCCAGTTGTTAGTAATTTTATCTGTTGTATATTATTGTTGATATGTTAGTATTTAGAGCAATATGTATAGGTTTCATTTATAAAAGTGTAAAGTAAATTGATGCATGAACATGAAGGAAAGAAAAGAACTAGATAAAACATAAACCAATGATTTTGTAGTAAAATAAAGTACATTCATATAATCAATATGGGGTTGTAGAGATTGTTGAGTTTTTTTATTGAGATCATGAATCGATCAATTTTAGATCACCAATAGAAACGTAGAAGCACTGGACGGCTGTTTCTTCTTGGTATGGGACTCAGCAGTGCGTATCCACGGTTTCGTGCGCAAACACTTAACCTCTAAACTACTGAACCAGCAACCAACGGTGTTAATGTCTAACTTCAACCTTTTATATTATCAATTAACAGTTAGCAATATATTTGATCAATATGCAAGTAAACTGAATTATGTTTCGATATGCTACACATTATTAAGTTATTTTTTATTGTTAAAATGTTTTGTGAATCCAGTTATTGTCCCTAAGATATCATCAAACTTTTAAGACAAATGATACGCAGTAAATTTTTTAAGGCATATGTATTTTCGGAAATTGTGAGCTATCTGAATATAATCATCATAGCTTGATGAGCAACACCACATGATATAGTTTACAAATTAACCATCATGATTCCCGACCGTTGTTACTACCTTGACGTAGTGGTCGGGCTCGCCTATCTTGAACCAATCGAGCTATACTGGCTGTAACAATCATTCTTCAAGGTCCTATCATGTCAGATAGGTCGATTGAAGAACGGTAAGACAAAAAGGTCGTTTGTGACCGACCTCAAGCAGTTGTCCCTTGGATACTGCGGTCACGCTCTCAGGTCACTAAGGCCACCTCTAATCCAATTTACTTTTCAGGTACCTCCAGAACAACCCTTCCACAGTGTAGGTAACCGAGAAGTGATAACCGCGCACATACCTCTAACAGCACTCAAGACCACTGTATTCATAATCAACCTCCCTTCTCCATTCCTATTTTTCCTCCTACATCGACCTTAAACAATAAGCTTCCGCTCTTGGCTTCCTCCCTAAGTGTCACCATGGCCAACGATTCTTGTGGTCAAAACACTGTCTCAGGTGTACTGAAACCTCGCTCCAAACTGCTCATTAGAGCCTTCAACGTATGTGCCCTATGCCAAATTGGTCAGCAGACCTACTTGGCTGAGACTCTAGAAAGTGGTACTATTTATGTATGCTGCGTAGACAACTTCACTCATCCTGGAAGTTTTGGTGTCCGACGAAATCTCAACACGGATTCGAAAAGTTCGTTTGGCTCTTGCAAACTTACGTGACCTATTGCGAAGGCGAGATATCCGCCTATCAATTAACGGACGAGTATACTGTGCAGCAGTTTGTTCTCTTCTACTTTACGGCTGCGAGACATGGCCATTAAGGGTAGAAAATACTCGTAAGCAGTTGATGAGGTTGCTAATCTTCATCGACCGAGATGGTTGGGCCACGTGTTACGTATGCTTGAACACCGATTAACACGACACGCAATCCTGATTAGTGTTTGGGATATTTGGAAGAAAGTTAGGGGCTGCCAAACCAAAACGTGGCATCAGTGCTTGAAGTCAATAACTTCTAGTTTGAGCCATGTTGGTAGATGCAGACTATTTGGTCGGGGTCCATATGACTATCGTAAACAGTGGTAGGAGACTCTGGGTGACATGGCTCAGATTCGATCACAATGGCGTTGGTTTATACACTCTTTGTCTTTCTTTAAAGTATGAGATTAAAATCGCTTCATATCTTTCCCTCTACGAACTAATTCTGTCTTCCCGGACTATGTCCTTATATGCAATCTTTCTTTTATATCTTACCACCACTGAATTAACTACTTCTATGACTTTTGTGTTCATCTTGGTGTGTTAATTAGGTATGGGAACTTGAACCGATGCATATTTGTGCCTGGTCCTACGTTGTAGCTGACTGACTGAACCATTATTATTTAGATTCATTCACTATTAAGCAACGGATTATTAGTTAAGATAATTAGTTTTCAAATTGTAAGTTATAAGCTCTAACGCTCCATATCTAATTTGGCTGGAACAGCCGTTTAATATCACTATCTGTTATAAAAATAGTATGACTTAAATAATTAATTCTCAATCATTTTGTTATTCTGTTACTGATTTGCCCCATATTTATTTTCATTTTTCCATTTCCTTGTCCTTTCGTATTGTTTAATAAACGTGATAGCTCAGAACGTTCTATTGTTATAATGTATTTTACGGTTGTCTATCACTATAGTATGAAATGCCTTCTCATTACACTAGTTATTAAGTAATTACTATAATTTTTTTCTAAAACTTGATAGTCGATTGCAGTTTTGTGTATTAAACCATTATATTAGGCTATATATTTTTATTTGAGAACTAGTGGTACTACTTGGATGTCTAGACTGGTATGAGTTTAGCAGGGTTCGAACCAGTAGCCTAGTTAAAATTTAACTGTTTCAATTACTTTATAATTGCTGCTCTGAATATAGTCCATTATACATTCACTGGAAGACCTGAAGGCCCCGGGTTCGAACCGTGTTGGGGTCACCGATGTTCACTTCTGAGTTTCATGCTAGCACAAAACAGCTACCCAGTACTCTCGGGTTATGTTTTAATATAAAGGAAGTGCTTTAAAAGCATTTTCTTTATCGGCTAAAATCAACAGGTGAATTTTCAGTATCCTAATCATGGTTAAAACCCTTTACCAATGCGAAATTTTGGTACTGTCTGGATCATTAAACATGTGATCATACATTTAATAATAACTTTATAACTTAGCCAATGGTAAGTATCATTTTAAGCTTAACTCCATTTGAGATTATGAATGAAGTTATTATCTTCAAGACTCATCTTCACTGATATATTAACTTTTTTTTCACAAGTTGATAATTTTTATCTAAAACTTACGTATGAGAAAAGAGGAAAGATTGTTTAAAACGCGTCCAATTATGTAGTTCTTTGACTGTCGCTAGTCTTCTACAAATGATATTATTTTGCATTGGAAACTATTTCCCAATCAACCACATCTTAAATTGTTGGAGAATAAGCGGGGCCCACATTTTCATATATATATAATAGGGATACGTGTATGGAAGATCTTTCTAAGTAAAAATTACAATTAAATGTACATATTTTTATGTTTCTATATAATCTTATATAATTTTAGTTCATAAAAAACAAGATGTAATCAGATATCATCATCATTATCATAGTATCATGTAATGGGAGTAGTTATTTTATAATATTCATGTGGTTAACTCGTGTGATAAATATGATATTTGAAAAAAGAATTACTATTGATCTATTATCAGCTGATTATATTATTACATTGAATATCCATTAGAAGTAGTATAGTAATTTCTATTTATTATAGTCTGTACATTATTATATACTATTTTATGCTAATAATGACAGTTTTTAAAATGTGTAAAGTTTTTCTTGTTATGTATATTGTTGATTATATTTTAATGAAACAATAGTTTAAAAGGTTAAGATCATTTGATATTTCATTGATAGATTCAAATCTTGCTATATTTCATTTTACGCAGTTGAGTGGCATAAATAGTGTCTACAAATGTACTGATGAGAAAGAAAGACTTACTTGGCAAATTAGCTACATTATTCACTGTTGGTTATTTGTCAACTGTATATGTCACTATATGTGTTAGTGAATGTTACAGCTTAGTAGTTTACTAGTTAGGACTCGAGAATAATGTGGCATTAATATATATATATATATATATATATATATATATATATATATGACTCCGAAACTTGCAATTGACCTCACCTAATCAATTATGGACGAAGACGACTTACCCTTCGTACATCTGGAGACATCATCCCTACTTATCGTGCTCTGGTTAGCGTGAATGCAGTACTAAGCCCCGTAGTACAACAGTCACTTCTGGGATATATTTCATTAGACAGTCGCTTGTGTGCTTTTCAGATCAACAGAACCTTTAAAAACCTGAACAGTTTAAGATACACATCGTTAACCTTCATCTCAGTATACCCTCTCATTCACTCCCTTTTGACAGAAGTAAGAAATGAAATTTATGTGAAGCTTTACACCCGTTTTAAAAAACTTAAATCCTCAGACAGTAATCGTAGGAGATTATTATGATGGTCAATTGGTTAGGGTAAATGAAGCTAGAAAATAAATAGATCTGCCTTTCAGTGTCCTGGATCACCGAACAGATAAAAAGAAGGGCATGTTGAAACTATTCTCAGGTAATAATTTGTTTCTAACAAAATCATTGTCAAAAATAAAGAGAAATATTTAACATGATTAACCATAGAATTGACACGAATAAACCATATTTACATCAACTATCGCTTGAGGGGCTCGGTAGGAGAACACGCTTGTTCTGGAGCTTATATTTAGACTCGGATCGTGTTGTGGTGTGAGTATGCGTCTTACCGAAAGACTCTAGTGTTTATCTTGATTATGTGAAGATCAAGAGTGTATTTCAAAAACAAATAGAGAGACGTTTGGTCTAGAATAATGTTAAGCTTGGTAAAATATCAAAACAGCTATGAAAACAGCAGTGATATGATTTTGAGATGTTGGTGACAAAAACAAAAGAAATGGGACAGGCTGATTGGATAGATAATAATTGGTAACTGATCAGATATATTAGGACACAGGTGTTATAGAGTCAGTTGTTAGTGCAGCGATCTCAGTAGAAGCATATACTTTGGTCCACTGTCACGCTGGAAAATTGGGACGATGGGTGAAACTTTCCGAAAAACAGCTCAGCTAACTTCAACTACTATGTGGTTAACCACTTTCTAAACAATCTGAATGAGAAATTGAGGTACGCCTATCGACTCAACGAATTTGGAAAGGACCAGGTAGATTAACTTCAAAGCTTCCGGTTTAAGTTGTTAGTCTGACTGCGACACTAGCTAGGATCTTGAAACTAGATATAATTCTATCTGACAGGTCTTCTGAGTCTATAATCAAAGACTGAAGTCCTCATACAATAACCACAGATGAGCCAGTCTGGCTGATGTGCCATTTAAAAAATAATAGTGACTATGTTTTTTCCCAAAAAATTAAAATTACTGATTTTTCTTACGTTTTCCATTCTTTTTTCTCCATAAAATAAAAAATATGTGCATATATATAGACTGTTGCTTTGAAGAATACAAATATTACAGAATTAGAGTCAGAGGGATGTACGTGTGATCGAGCTGATAATCCTTATCGTAATCAACTTTGGACAAATACATATGGGAATGGTGAAAGATTAGATTACATATTTTATCGTTCTGGGCCATCAATAATAGATTCATTTCATATACCATGTAAGATAATGATGGTGATGATATTATTGTTATTGGATTGATTTATCCTTTTTTGGTTTTATATCCCTTTAAATAATGTTGATTGATTGGTCACTTGGTTCCGTCATCATTACCATCTTTTTTTTCGGATGAAACTGACTTACGAACACACCGTCTCATAGACCTCTTCTCTCTGCATTATTCGCCAATACTAAAGGGTATAAAAAGTAAGTAGTTGTTCACTGTATGGAACGAAACAGTTTTATGCGATCAGTATTAAATTGGTCCGTAAGAACTTCCTTAGTCGAGATCCTAGAGATTATGTCGTTCATTAATATCTAGGTAAAAAAAGAAAATAGCCTCAATTTTCTTTTTGTTTTACACTACATTCTTCATGAAGGTAGGATGAACCTTTCTAATCTAGAATATTCTATCTTAAAATGTAAGGTGGTCGATTAGAAAACTTGGAGCAAAGTTTAATGCTATTTAGCACTTTTCAGGAAGGCGTGCCTATGATCTTTAAGCTCATCATAGTGCATACAATATCGAGCTACTCAGACTAGTAACCACATTGTAACTTGATGGACAGCATTCATAACCGAAATGTCACTGTATGAACACTTGTGATTGCACAATAACTTCAGAGTTTAGAATGTCTTTTTTGTTACAATAAATCAATATATTTTGAGAGATCTAGTTATATGATATTTCTTTTTTGTACATCTGGCATAAAGAATGAAAGATCAACTAGCAGGCAATCTACATACTACTCATTTACACCACGGTCTTCACCAGCTTCTTTATCATTTTAATATCATCACAATACTAAGTTCCTTATGAATCGGTTTCGGTATTTAGAACTGCCCTCTTGTTTACCAGAATAATTTATTTGTGTGCAACTGAAAACATCTTAGATATTTACTAATCACTAGCTTTCCATTGAAGTTTTAAAAATACCAGTCGGACTACAATATTATTGTTAACATTGAACAAGTTGGGAGGTGAAACAGTTGAATAATTGTCACTTTTTATGTTTAGATTTAACTAAAGTTGGAAATGTGAATAGGTTTAGTGATATTTGTGAGGTATTTTCCTTGAAAATTTCGTTAACAATCATGCCTTTCTTCTATGTAGGCCGAATTCAGGGTACTAGGGAAAATAAAAAATCGGTTAAGTTTGTTAAACTCCATCAAGTGAGGTAGAATGAATGTTGTATTACTTATGCCTAACCATGGTTTACCTCGACGTGCGACGTTTACTGATGTCAGAGTAGACTGGAAGAAATCTAGGGACACCAAAACCACGACATGGTATCAGTTTGTTATTTGTGTTGGTAGGTACAGATTCCCTATATGTGGTCCACTAGACTATCTGGTCTAATGGTTGAAAATGTTAGGTGAAATGGTACAAATTCACTCTCTATCTTCTCTTAGATTTCAAGCTCTAAAATTACCTTAATTTTTAATTTCTCATTCTTAAATCTTACTGTTTATGTCTTATCTTTTCTGTCACCATTGTTACTGTTACTATTTCCACTACTGTGACATTTATTTTGATAATTCATATAGTGTGGCAACTTCAACCGAAACAGGTTCTATAGTGTTTATGACTGATATAGTTCTATAGCTGTGACGGCAGATTAGAGGACAGCGAATTATTGATCGGACCAAAGACGCGTAAACACGTAGAACGGCCTAGGGTTCTGATTGGTCCTGCTTCCCTGCCTAGCCCAGCCAATTGAGTCCAGAACACAAGTCACAGCCTCGGAGATATGAATCATTATATTTCAAACACTGTTTATATACTAATCAAGCAGACCACATCGTACCATAAAATAGAAAATAACATTGTACAATATTGACCAGTAGGAAAATGATACGTGAAATAAGTACTGACCAATAAGAAAATAATACCATCTCCAAGTCCAAGAATAGCATTAGACTTAATAAAATAAATTTTGGGATATTTTCCTGAATATCCCAACATATAGAATGTTAAAGTCTTTTGAAGTTGAAAAATTTAACATAACAACATTTGTCCACTTTTTTCCCTAACTATTTTCACTTCACATTAATTTGTCATGAGCAAACTCATTCGTAAATTAAAAAAATTAAAGTAATGCAGTTAACAGTAGTGTGTGCTACTTATATCGACATAAGTAGTATTTTACGCTAGCCAGGAATAGAATGTCTGGCTGTAGAAGATCGAGGAGGAAAAAAACGGGGACAGGAAGCAATTGATGTGAAAATGAAGGGATACCGAAATCTGAGACAATTAATGAACACTTTGCAAATGAAGTATTTATTGTATGGTTTACAGATTTTACTATGATATTCTATAATGTATTAAAATGCATTCGATTACCCCCACTCATGTTCTCGTTCACTACAGTAGTTAAGATGTTCGCTAATAGATATTTGCAAACAATGGTTTTTTTTATATTTCTCTCTTCATTATAACCATACAGGTATGATTCATCAGAGCTGTGAGTATTCATGTGGGTATGTGCGTACTTGTCACTGATGTTGGAGTAGATTTAAATAGAATAAGTAAGCAAAAAAAGGAAGAAATCACAATTAACCTAATACATGCGTAATTACTATTTTCGGATATCCTTAAAAATAGTATTTGCGTAGAAAAATAGATTATATATTTAAAACAGTTTGACATGTGGGATGAAATAACCAAAATCAAATACAACACTATTTTTATCCAAATGAAGATAATTATATGAATTCTTTTTTTGGAAGAAAAATATGTTACGTTGATTTTTTATGGTTCTAAATCTGTAAATTAATTTTTCATAATGTCTATACATATACATATGTATATATGAGTATGAATACATTTTATAAATCTCATTTAGATACTACCTACGTAAGTAGTTTTTAGGTGTGTATTTCAATAAAAAGAAATAGTAGTGTAGGTAATATGAATTTCAGTTTTTAATTGAGATCATGAACTGATGAATGTTAGACCACCATTGAAAATCTAGAAACACTAGGTGGTCGTTTCATCCTAGTATGGGACACCTCAGTAGTGCTCATCTGCGATCCCTCACGCTTCACTCAAACCTAGTACCTTTGATTTCGCGCGCGAACGCTTAATTTCTGCACCACTGAGCCGGCATCCAACGGTGTTAATGTCTAACTTCAACTAATCCACGATATTGTGCAGCCGTCCACCATTGTGTTCAGTGAGTGACTGTCTCACAATGACATTGTGGTCTAGCATTGATCAGTTCATGATCGAAATTAAAAACTCAACAATTTCTGCAATCTTATACTGAGAATTTTAGTTTGTTAGATTTAACATGGACGTAATTACCGTTATGATATCAGTGTAAGAAGTTATTAACTATTGGAATTATCCATGTTAGTGACTGAAAACTACCTGACTTAATGTTCAAGAAAATGATTATGGTCAGTAATTAAACATGACCTAGAATCGGTCACAGTGACACTCTTAATTGTCTTCTAGATCTTGTGTTTCAATATTACGTTATGCGTATCGTCTCATTTCTTTTTTTTTATGTGTATTATCCAATTTTAGTCATTAATATTACTATTATTTGGACTGCTTTTTTATTCATTTTGTTAATTTTATTTCATTATATTAATTTGGTATTAGAACTCGTGGTAATGTACATTTGTGTCAAGCCCAATATTGATTATAACTGATTGAATTAAGTGTATAGTGTAAGTATGATGTTTCATCACCGACTAATTTCATTTAGGGTGAACTATTGATGTTAGGATATTATTTTTCTAACAATTGAATACTTTTTGTTTGGCGATTCCGAATATACTGATTGGTTAGTAATCGAACGGTCGACGCTACGTTTGAGAATGAAGAGATTGCTACACAGTTGATCATTTCTGCTAATATTTTAGTTGTAAAACAAATCTATATATAATAGACAACTTTCAATTATCTTTTTGTGAATTACACATTTTAAGAAAGTTGTTTTTTTGTTTTCTTTCTAAACAAAAATATTTTAATATCAGAAGGGGTTTTGTGGATATTATAGTAATCTTAATAGTTGAGTTCATGAGTCAATTGAAGCTAGACCACCATGGAAAACCTGGAAGCACTGGACGGTCGTTTTGTCCTGTTGTCGGATTTCTCAGCATTGTGCTTCCACTATTCCATCTTGTGAGATCGTGGATCGTGGACGCACACTGATGTGTAGTCGCACAATAGGACGAAACGGCCGTCCATTGCTTTCAGATTTTCCATGATGGTCTAGCTTCAATTGATACATGATCTCAACTATTAAAAATACTATCTCTTACACTATTATATAGTCCGAAGAATGTCAATTGCATAAACGGATAAGAATGATAAGATATGCTTGATTCTTTTATAAAATACTTTATCCTCTAAACACAAATCGGCTTAAAATAGATTTAGAATGAATAATACATTTTTTAAATTGGTAACTATGAGATTAAAAATCAGTTAAGCATAAAAAAATATTCATAATGTTTAAGTTCAAAATAAAAGATTATTGTAAAACTGAAACTATGAAATTTTTTAAAAGTTATCACTGATAAATTCTACCTTCATTTTCTAATTGATTATTCAATATATCAGAGTTTTTTAAATCTACGGTGTTACTTAGTGATATATTTACTTTTTTTTATTTGAACACATAAATATTGGTACAAGGGGACACCAGATGTATATGCTCCCAAATGTCCTGGTATGTCCGGGAGTGGGGAGGGCCCTCACTCCCTCTCGAAATGCTATCACACGGCCACGGGTATACAGCTTCTGTCAGGGAAGTAGTATTCACTGCCTTCTCGTGACGGGGGTGTTGTTTGCAAAATTGAGAAGACGAAAAGCGAATGGTCAACGCTTTAACCAGGTTGGTGGATATGGAGGACCCACCCAGGAGAGTTGGAAAACCCTGATTCTAAACCAATGGTGCACATGGGCTCCAGTATCCTAAAGGAACAAATGGCGTATGAACCAATTGTTGGTCACCGACTACCAAGGGACTGCATCTCCTGATGTTGCTCCACTGTCTTGTGGGTCAAACCTTTAGATCGAGGGCTCCGAGTGTGACTCCCCAAGAAAACCACCTACTTCGGTCTGGGCACCCGGGCAGTACCACAGCCCACACAAATAGAATGAAAAAGTGATGTATTTATACATATATAATCTGTCTAAATAATATGGATTAATTAAAAAATAAATTTAATTATTTAAATAATTTCACTTTATGAAATAAACAATTTCGTGGAGAAAAAAGAAATCGAAACAAACAAATGCAGTACGAACTGAACTTTTATTTATCAGAAAATAAAAAAATAACACATTTTTCATTTATATTTACAGTTAGTTACTGAGATGCTTAAAGTTTAATGTTGTAGAGGTTAATTTCCCCTATATCTGACTCCAGTAAATAGTATCCCGTTAAATGAGTATTTAATGCACGCTAAATCTCTTAGTAGAATTATGGATTTACCCGAGATTATTCAAATGCCTGAACACCAGTTATAGAGATAGTTTATTGTTAAAGATTGGTAAAATCCACAAACGTATAGGAAGCAAGCACACAGGGAAACCAAGAGTGTGTTTGTGTGTGGTGTTAAAAATTCATATATATTTATGAGTGTTAATCAAGTATGGATAAATTATTGATTGTCTGTGTATTACAACTAATGAGAGAATAGATTAAAATTGATGTGCAGTTATGTGCTCAATCAGAATCACACAGAAAATTACATTATGGATTAAGTGTTTAAATTCCAATGGGTAGGTAAATAATGCAGTAATTGAATGGGCTTACTACAATATATTGTCATGTTAATCTGTATGTTACTCTAGAATTTTTACACTTTTATTATTGATTTGATATCAGTAATATTTGGATAAATTATATTATAATAATGCTTTAAAATATCTAGTGGATTAGTGTTATAAAAGGGAATATACATTTTGAAAATTTTTTTTATGTGTAACTCAGTGATCACGTTTTGAACTGTGAAAGTGAGTGACACTGATTTGAATCTAACATAATGCATCATTTGCCTCAAGATTGCAGGTACGCCTTCATAATGAGTCTCAAACAGCATAGTATCCATGTTCACGGTTTACTGTTAACTACCTCTGATCCTATAATATGAAATAAGTCTAATGTTTAATTGTTTTGTATCACTTCAATAACTTTATAATAAAATGTGTGTTTTTATTGTATATATGAATATTCATTTATATTAGAACAAATAGTATTGTATATGTTTATACATTTCTTGAACAATTATATATCGTAGTAATAAAATATTTACTTTATTTTTTCTAATCATCATTAATAAAAAAGTTAAAATATTTTATGAATTGTCTTTCTACTTAATTTCTGTTTTACTATAGCTTATGCTAAACTTGTCTGTGATTCGTGTTGGTTAGATATGCGTAAAGTACCTGACGACCCATATGGTTTACATTATTCCGATCATGAAGGTGTAGCTGCAAGCTTTACTATTACAAAATTACGCAATCCTGTAAAACCAGGTATATGTTTCTACTTGATTATCTGTATTTATTCTTATCATGTAGTTATGTGATTAGAATTACAATCATCATGATTGTCCGTAGATTGTATTGGTAAATTCGTTGTGTGAATTGAATCAATGTGCACAATATCCCATCAACTAAACTATAATATTCAGCTCACTAAGATCATGATATTCATGGATTTTTAGTATGTTGTGACTACTGGAATTCAAACATATCGGAAGTTAATCAGTTGTCACTAATGACCTTGGATGTTTGTTGCGTTTTATCTCAATGTGATTGAAGTTGGTATTGTACCATTGGACGACAAGCTAGCGGTTAGTCGAATGCTCACCACTAGACTTGAAGAATATGGGTTTGATTTCTGATGGTGTCGTGGACATGCACTACTGAGTTCTATACTGGGATGAAATAGTTGTCTAGTACTTCATGATTTTTAGCAGTACTTATATTGAGATCAACCTGTGACGAATACAGCTTGCAAACTTAGCCAATCTCTACAAACCCACCTTCAATAACAATAGCCATGTAAGTTAATTAAAATTGAAAACATTCTCCTAGTGCTTGCCATCCATTTTGCACAAGATTTAAAAAAGTTATTCATATTAGTGTTCAATTTGACTTTAAGAAATATATAGTAAGCAGTCACTTTGGCTGATGCTGATTGCCCAATGAAATTTAATCAGATACGCACCGGATATGTGTTAGTTTTTCTGATGTATGTAATTCAGACGCTGTTAAAAAGAATATAAAGTATAGCATAGGTCTGTTTTTCTAGTGACACTTTAATAATCCTCAATTGTAGATAGTTTAAGAGAGCCATATGTATATAGTTTTCTTTATATCCGTTAAATTTCTGCCATGTGGCGGGACTACTAAATGGACCGCGTGTAATTCAGATTTGTGATGACTCTGTTACATGAAAAATAAATTTATAGTATCGACATTTGCTAATTCTTCACGATTTCTTGGTTAGTTTCATAGAAACCATGGGACTCAGTGACTTGAAACAACAGAGACTACTGGCGAGTCCCCTGCAGTTTTTCAATACACTCTTTGTAAATTTTAGGTGAACTTCCCTATCTGAAAGAAAATTATCCTGGTTGAATTGTTTGCTTCACTTGTACATTTTGGTAATCAATGTTTTCATTTGTTGATATGCGACGTTTCTTTGTTCTATTTCATCATAATATTTACATTCAGCTTTATCAACATAATTCTATTTTTGACTTGTTGCTCGTGACGATCGGAATTCAGACAAGGCTAGAGGAAAATATTCGCCATTAATGCCATGTATGATCGTTGCACTGAATTGCGAATTGTTTGAAGTGGAAAAGTGCATGAATCGACGCCGGCCCATTAGTTCTAAGGGTTAAGTGTTCATTGCGAAATCTGAAGATCGTGAGTTTGGTGACTGTTGAGGTCACGGCTACTCATTGACACGAAGCCTTTGATAGCTCATTGATCTGATTCCAATGTTGATAGACGTATGAATATGCTATGAGCATAAATCTTTCATTTAATTTCGTATATTACCCATGCTAATCCGGCAGTAATAAGAAGCCAAATACAGATTGGATTGGATGAATTTATTTCATGCTCTCGTTTATCCAGACGGACATTCAGAATAGGAGGCGATAAAGAGAAGCGGAGCGGCAAAGGCGAGTGAGCCAACTCGTTTTGATAAAGCAAGACTTAATATATATAGCCAGACAAAAGTAATCCGAAGACATGTGATGAGTACGGTAAGCAATTCATACACATACACTAAAAAAATCAGTCAAAGTTAGTAAGTGAATAATTAACAACATCAAAATCTGATTCAAGAACGAATAAACTGGTCTATACGGAAGCTCAATCAGTCAGTAACAACGTAGAACTTCGTACGTACGTACATTAGTTCGAGTTGCCATACCACATTAGCACAGAGATGCAGTTGTCGATTGAAATACCGTAGTTGTAGAGGTAATAAGAGTATAAGCAGTAATCGGAAACATTAGGGTTTGAAGATGTTACTCAAGGAGTATAATCCGGTGAAATAAATTTAGGAAGAGAAAAAAGAAAGGGACATGAAGTATTCAGAAGATTAGAATTTGGGAGAACACAAAGAGTAGATGCACTTGCGCCATTGCAGACAATTTTGAGCCATGTCATTCAGGGTTCTTACCATCGGTTGCTATTGTCTCGCGGATTCCAACCAGGTAGTCTACACCTACCAACACGGCTCAGTCCATTTGTCGGTGACTTCATGTATTTGTGCCACGTTTTGGTCTGGCCGCCCTTAGCTTTCTTGCAACCTACTCCTACACCATAAAACATCGTACGTCGGGGCAGTCGGTGTTTGGGCATACGTAACACATGTCCAAGCCATCTCAAATGATGAAGTTTTACTACTTCATCAATTGATTTACCATCCTTATCTAGTACCCGTTTCCTAACAACTATGTTACTTACTCGGTGGCTACAGGATATACGGAAGCTAGAATAAAGTATATGAATTTGATATATTACTAGACACTACAAGTCTATTGTGAGGACAAAGCAGCTCTCGATTGCTTTTTGATTTTCAAATGTACCTCATCTGAGAGCAATCTGAGGCGAATACTTTCTACATAAATAAATGAGGTTAGGTGTAATTTAATAAAACTATAGACTTTGATTTAATTGATAAGTAAAGCATGTTGTCGAGTAGACTTTAGTATTTAAGATCGGTATAGTAATAACAACGGTCCGTCAATTCATTAGTTGTTGATTTTTAGAAATGTATGAAACATGTGTCATTTTGCTGGCGTTTGGAGATTTCATGAATCGATTCATCTCGATGCACTATATTCCAATTCAAAATCTATCACAACTAAAGCAGAGTTTCATTATACGGTCGTGGACATTGTTGGATTTCATTGAAATGATGAACTGGTTTAAGTTAGACCATTATTGAAAACTTGGAAGCATTAGATGACCATTCCATCCTAGTATGGGACTACTCAGCAGTGCGCATCTACGACCCTGCGGGCAGGACTGCGAGCAAAGCTAATATCGTTGAAGAATATCATTTGTTATTCACTCAAGGGTTTATACTTTCCTTTCTGTATTAAGTATTTACAATGGGACATTATTGGTGTGTGCAAATCCTGAGCGAATTAGCCTAATATACCCATTTTTACTAAATTTGGATAGTGACACATGTTTCACCCTTTTTCACGCAACATTGTGGCTGTCTAGACCCTATAACCGAATGAATAACACGAGCATTTGAAGCGCAAATTGCTGAGTCGGAATAACAATTTAAGGATCTACACTGGGTCCCTTACGGATGGATCCGGCTGACGAGTCCTAAAGAAAGCGAAACTCACATGATAAATTCAATTACTAACCATAATCCGATATTATTGTCTAGTTGTTTTTGTTTACAGACAAAATGAATCTACTTTATATTAATTATTATTAAATATATTTAAATATAATACAGTACTAATTCATCTCCTTTTTTATTCTATAGAGGGTGAAACAATGTCAGCAAATGAATTAAATCGATTACATGATTTATTATTAGATATAGATCAACAATTAACTCGTGGTTTGAATCAATGTATACATGGTCGTTTATTGCATTTAATATGGGCGATATTTATAACAATTTTATTAATTATCTTAATATTAATATATCCAACTGATAGATTAACATCAATTATAAAATGTTTATTTGAAATATTACTTGGTATTATATTATTCACATTAATTTGGGGTTCATTAATTGGTAGAACTATAGAAAAATCCGGTTTAAAAAATGCTAAACATTCAATTTCAACATTATCTTCAAGATTAGATAGTTCGAATGATTTTACATTAATTAAATAATAATTTGCCTTTTTTCTCTCCTTTTGTATTCCTCCCCAATACTTTTTTCTTTTCTGTTTTCGTTTTCTTTTTCTTCCAAAATAAATTTTGAATAGGATATGTTTAAGTGAAGAAATATATACCATCGAGTTTTTATTTCTTTCTAATTAATCAATTCATTTTAATTGTAATGATGATATCAGGATTTATCTCTCTCTCTGTGTGTGTCTCTCTCTCACACACACGTTCCTCTTTTAATCACAAGCAATTAACGGAAATAATAAATTGTCATCGTATATCTTTTATACAATTATTCATAGGTGTTATATTTAACAACGGCAAAATGATTGTATTTGACACTGATGTTTGTGTATTTTAATTTATTTAATATTTAACATATATGTGTATGTTCAATACACCTATATATATAATTCGAATTAATGTTATCATCGTTGTGGCTTTCTTTTGTCTCTTGTTTTTATATTGTACATGTATACAGAATTCTAATTTGAAAAAAAAATTATTTAACAAATATTTATTTCCTTTTTTTAATGAACTACTTAATATCTCGGTGAGTTACTATCTCACAACAGACTCGGTTGAACTCCACTGGTCACTACTTCTCACTAGAACTTCAGGAAATACCTCATGAAGTCAGTGGATGCGCACTGCTGAGGAGTCCCAAAATAGGACGAAATGGCCGTCCAGTGCTTCCAGGTTTTCCATGGTGGTCTAGCTTCAACTGACTCATGATCTTAACCATTGAAATTACTACAATCTTCACAAAACCCATCTGATATTAATCAACATATGCTCACTAGTGACTAGTAGATTGTTATAAATAATTTTAATTTGGTTATTTAATCTCTGAAGATATGGCTTACACTAAGTCACGAAACATCAGAAAATCTAATTTTTCTACTCACTGGAATATTATAAATATTTATTTAAAAGTTTACAATACTCTCTGCATGGTTCAGAGGAGCAAGTCAGTTATTTTCTTGATTGATGTTGTGATTTGACTCTATAGAATTATGGGATCTTTATGCTGAGAAACTTAACATTTTATTGTTTTTTGAGTCCGATACTATACTTTTAAGAATATTCACTGGACGGTTGTACACATTTTGTAATGTGTAATTTCTCTATTTTTCCTGGTTTTCTTGATAAAAATATCTCCACCATTCCTCATATCATGATGTGACTGGGTGAGAATTTTCAGTAGCACAATATTTTTATCCTAGGTGTTAATTTGTTTCTGCTTGTGTCCCTTCACATAGACATAGATGTATCAATCAAACTAACATATAATACCTATCTTCTACAAACCAAGAAGTTTGTTTAATTAAAGCAGATAATTGAAACAGGGGAGATAAATAATAAGGAAAATAAATCATTCATTATCGTTAAATTTAAAATAATAAAAGCAACTGAGAACAGTCCAATACTATAAGCAGAAAATTTTGCAGTTACAAGATGAATTGATTAATGGAGCGAAAAAGCTAGTTGAAATTGATGTAAACTTGAAAATACGTCGAACATCATGCAAGGTTCCCTTTTTAACGATGTTCAGTAATTCGTATATGTATAACGTAGAATCAATTACATTGCTTTAAAATAAAGGCTCGTGGCTGCTTGAACGTTTACAATAAGGAAACAGGGGATCGATATTTCAACTGTTTGACGCCATTGGTTAGCTAAATCATTGGGTTTCTGTTCGACTTAGATCAACGATTTGTAGTACATAGGTTTCTTAAATTAGTTGACCGTTGAAAAATTTCATCTATGGTATGTCGTGCCAAAAGTGTCTGCCGGTAGATATCAGTTCGCATAATTCAGTCAGAATAAGGTGAATACTAATCTTTGACATTTGTATCCTTTAAGAAGTTCTATTATGTCCTTGTAATTATGATTCGTATAAAGTTTTACTCTTTTTTTCAGCAATGAATATACATACAATTAATACTAGTCATTTTATTTATTGAAAAAGCTTTCAAGCCTCTAATATTGTGATCTCAGCGACCTTACTTGGTTGATCTGATTTAAAACCTAGTTAGCAAAATTAGAATTTTAGGTTAATCATCGTTTTATTTTCTACTCACTGATTATGTAAATCAAGCTAATATACCATTGACCAAAACAACTATTGCAATAAATGTAATTCATTTTCTGCATCAATTTACTTAAGAATTGAAACAAAACCTAACAAATAAAACATTGAATAATTTAGAACAATATGATTTTATTTTGTTTGATGAAATCAATCATAATAACAACAACAAAAAACTTAATTGTTTGTTCATTTATAAAAGAACACACAAAATGTAAAACTAGTGAATCAATCCCATTTTGTTTATGAATAATACATGAATCTTGTTTAATAATAATAATAATTAAAACAAAGTGTCTTTTTGGAATTCAACAACAAAATCAACTTCATCTAATTTATTACCAATGATCATGTAAATTTATAAAGAATTTTTTTTATAATTCGTCTTACCTGAAGAAAATGAGATTTAGATAATGTTATCAAACCAATAAATACTGATCATATATATGTAAAAGAAAACTGAAGAGACTTCAAGATCATTGAAAAATTCGAAAAGAACTTAATCATTTAAAACAAATTAATAAAAAGAATTTTTATAATTTAATTAACAAACTTAATAAATAAATAAATGATACATTTAAGAAAGACAGAAATGGCAATATCAAATAAATACTGATTGTGTATAGATTGATTTGTGATAAGTAAGTTAAAATATTGTTACCAGAGAATACATTACGTCGGGAAATCGAACCAGATATGAAAAAGATGAAATAACAATTGGAAAGGATTGCCTAGGACAAGGTTGGATGGAGTGTGCTGGTGTGCGGCCTATGCTCTTCTACGGGAAGTAACAGGCGCAAGTAAGTACTTTTGTCAATTTTATAAAAGGTATTTTATTTAAGGGAATATTTAGGAATTTTTTAAAAAAATATATATTAGAGAAACAAAACTGCAACATGAATAAATGAAATATCAAAATATTAAAGATTAAAACATTAAACAGAATTTATAAATAAATGAAACTAAAAATTAATTTAATTCAATTTATAGTTTCATTATTATTTTGTGTTTAGCATAATACTGTGAAATTATTTGTTATACCAGAAAACTGTTTTTTTTCACCAAATATATTTTTAGATGTACCATACTGTTTTATTCTATAAATACCAGGAATACATATACCATCAATCGAACTAATTGTCCATTCTATAATAGCATAACTTCGACCAAGTAACCATGTTAAAAATCCATCTCGACTCCAAATAAATCTGAGAAAAATAGTAATATTTTAGAAATAATAAAAAAAATTTTTGGATAAATTTATTAAGATATAAGAAACTGATTGAACAGAACTTAAAATAAATAGAAGTTTGTTAAAACTATGATATTAAAATAGCTCTTTGAATAGAAATAACATGAGCTTAAGATATTTAGTCTTTTATTAAAGAACACAAATGGAGAAAATCGAATGTATTTGACATGAAATTACATAGCATCTTAATCAAATCTGAGAATCATATAGTAAATGGTTAATTTGCAAAATATCAATCCATAGTCTTAAATTTGACTGTTTTTTTGCAAATATCAGTCCATTGTCTTAGATTTCATTGTTCATGCATTATCATACCAATTGCGTTCTTGTTTCCGTTCTTTCCTTACCGATCTTCTACTGAAATACATTTTATGTCTAACCACCGTTATATACTACTTATGCGGATTTACGTAAAACACACCGCACCGTGACAAAGATATCAAGAAGTTTAGGATAACCTCTTTAATATAATTCATGATACATTTCATATTGTTGGTATTTTTAAACAATAAACCACAAAAAAAATCAATCGAAAATCATATTAATTTAATGATAGTTACTTTGTTCGATTGAGTATATTTTATTATCATCATAAATGTTTTACACAGAAGTTGGATTGTCTTATGTAAAAGTAAGTTAACCTTCCATTAAGAAAGTATCATTGAAAATATATTGTCTCTGTTCAACTATATTTTTTGTGAACTTCGTAATTTGGACATCATGTCCAAAATACAAAAAAAACAGCTTCAAAATAAAAGACATTATTGTGTTTCAGAGAATAATCTACGTACACACACACACACATGCAAACAAGTTGATAGAATTATTTGAAGTGTATTCAATTTCTAAAAAATAAACCGAAAAATCTTCTAACTAAACTTTTGATTCGGTTTCTGTAATAACTTGTGGGTTTGTGTCCCTATCAATATATAACGTAATGATACCGTCAATTAAAGAACAGTGATTTATCGACCGGACCAATGACGCATAAAACAAGTACGAGCGGTCTAGAGTCTTTATCGGTCCTGCTTCCTGCCTAGCCCTGCCTGTTAAATTAAGAACACCAATCTCAGCCTCTGCAATATGAATTATGTATTTCAAACATATTGGGTTTATATACCAACCAAACAGACCACATCGTACCATAAAACGGAAAATAACATTTGTACAAGATTTAACCAGATATGGCTGTGAATGTGGTAAATAGTAATCGATAGACTGAGCAGAACTCGAGAATGGTAAATCGTATAGTAAAAGTTCATAGGTATAAATAAAGCTTATGACAAGAGGAACACAAATATGAATAGTTTAGTTACTTAACAATTATACAATAAAAATGTATGTATAATATTAGTCCATAAATAGATCCCAACAGTTACCACTCATTATTCTCATTGTGATATAACAGTTTATTTTAGGTAGTAATGACATTTTACTATTTAATTTGCTATATACTATAATCATTTTGTAACTTATCGATTTACATAATTTTTCTATTTATTTTTATTAATTATCAAATATTAAAATAATTAATTAATAATTTCAATAGTTGGAATCATGAATCAGTTGAATCTAGACCACCATAGAAAACCTAGAACCACTGGACGGCCGTTACGTCCCACTGTGGAACTCCTTAGAAGTGCGCATCCACAATCTCACATCGCGGGACTCGAACCCAGGACCCACTTGTCTCGCGCGCGAGCACTTAACTACTAGACCACTGAGCCGGCATCCAATGGTGTTAGTGTCTAACTTCAACTAATCCACAGAATCGAACGACATATACACAATTGTCGTCAGTGAGTTACTATCTCATAACTGACCCAGTTGAACTCCACTGGTCACGGCTCGGGGATGCGCACTGCTAAGGAGTCCCACAATAGAACGCAACGGCTGTCCAGCGCTTCCAGGTTTTCCATGGTGGTCTAGATTCAATTGACTCATGATCTCAACAATTGAAATAAATAAATAATACGAGAAAGTAATACATGAAAATGGGAGATAAATATTATACTTAATTCATTTACTTTCATTATTGAATTATGGTTATCGATTAAATTTGACCTATAAATTCAATATTCCAATATTAATGGATAATATGAAATAATGCAAAATATTGTGATACAAAGCAATTCATCAATTTAAAATACTCAATTAAACATTGATGATATTGTATGAATAAAGCAATTGATATAAACCATTTAATTTACTTATTGTATAAATTATATTTTTTATTCTGTTGTAAAATCGGTAAGAATAACTTTTGTTTTATCAAGATTGATTTTAATTGTTTGTTTGTTTTTGATGTTGGCGTTTAGGCAGATTAAATGAATGTTACTTTTAAGCATATTGTGATATGAAATCATGCAATCATTAAATGTTACTATTAACCGCGTTGGTGATTTAGGTGTACATTCTATAATAGTAATTATTGGTTAAATATCCTTGAATATCTTTAGATAGAGGCTACAAATGGAATTCTGGACGTGCATTTCGTCATATTCAGAACTCATCAGTTTGGTGTACCTGCATCTCAGAGTTGATGTTCACTCTGGGAGTCAAACCCGATACCGCTCGCTTCAAACATCATCGCGTTACCCACTTAGCTATAGAGTCCTGATAGTCAACTACTTGTGCAATGGCATGAACTTTTAAAATTACGTGGTGTTGTTTACTTGTATCTTCTCAACAAGTGAATTTAAAATTTGACCCGATTGCTCAAGTAGGTAGCTATATGGACTCAGTAGCTAAGTAGGCAACACAATGGGGTTTGAACCCAATGGTATTGGGTTCGAGTCCCAAAGCGAACATCAATTCTGGGATGTAGGTACATCCAACTGACGAGTTCCGAATATGTCAAAACGCGCGTCTTGGATTCCACTGCTAACCACCATCAATCTTTGCTCACAAAGCTTGTAACCTAAGGCAATATCGAGGGAGTCCACATATGATGCACATATGCTAACAAGAAACTGATCAATTGCAATCCTGAATAACAATGGTAAGATACAAGTTAACAACAACTAGTGAATTTATTTCTTTTTTTAATCATATTAAGTATGTATAGGTTTTTTACTACTATTAATATTACTGTTAGTGAAATTCCCGTGCTATTTATATCCGTAATTAAATTTCATTGTGTTCATGTGGTGGTACGATGCAATTATATTTTTACGAGGCTTTATTATGATTATTAATGACAAAGATTTCCATACTGTGTTTATTTTTTTACAGTTGATGTATATAAATTTTGTACATCCTATAATTATGGAGAAAGTTTAAATAAATCCGTGGTTGATATTGCACATTGAATTCTGATCAGTTTTATTGGTAGATATACACATATTTAAGAATCAACTTAAGACAACTATGTTGCCACAACTACATGCATACAGCCGACAAACCTTAAATAGAATGAAACACGTGCTCTGAATTCTATCGTAATCATTGCTTAATTTTCCTAAATAACTTATGTTTTCAGTTATACTTTATCAATTAAAAAAGAAAAACATGTCTCGATAAATCAGAACACAAATATACACCTTAACTGTTTGTTTACTCATTAAAATCTAAAGTTAAATTTTATCCAGATCAATACCTAAGTTGATATGTCGTCATTCTCACTAATCGATTGAGTAATTACTCACCATATCATGGTTGAATTGATGGAGAAAGTACAACGGGCTGTCTGTTCAATGTAGTGAGAAATATAACCCACACCCCTTTTTCACACAATACACTCTAAGCGATGCTATAAATGACAAGATATTCAACGCAATATATTCTGGAAGCACTGGACGGCCGTCTCGTCCTATTGTGGGACTCCTCAGCAGTGCGCATCCACGATCCCGCTCGCGGGATTCGAACCCAGGGCCTTTGGTCTCGCGTGTGAACGCTTAACCTACTGGACCACTGAACCGGCATCCAATGGTGATAGTGTCTAACATCAACCAATCCACGAAATCGCGCGACCAACTTCCATCGTACTGAAGTAGACATCTGTTTCTACTCGACACGGATTAGCTCGACTGATCACGGCTTCTCACTAGAACTCCGAGAATTCCCTCACATCAATCGGTTTATGATCTCAATGAAAAACTTAATAATCTCCACAACCCCTATACTAGTAATCAACATGTGCGCACTAGTGACTAGCTTCGTGAGGGAATTCTCGGAGTTCTAGTGAGAAGCCGTGATCAGTCGAGCTAATTCATGTCGGGTAGAGACAGGTATCTACCTCAGTACAATGGAAGTTGGTCGCGCAATTTCGTGGATTGGTTGATGTTAGACACTATCACCATTGGATGCCGGTTCAGTGGTCCAGCAGGTTAAGCGTTCGCACGCAAGACCAAAGGCCCTGGGTTCGAATCCCGCGAGTGGGATCGTGGATGCGCACTGCTGAATAGTCCTGCAATAGGACGAGACGGCCGTCCAGTGCTTCCAGGTTTCCAAAGGTGGTCTAACATCAATCGGTTCAGGATCTCAATCAAAAACTTAATAATCTCCACAACCCCTATACTAGCAATATATTCTATCAGAATGAGGGTTTGTAGAGATTGTAGTCGTTTTATTGATTGAATTTATGAGTCGATTTAAGCTAGACCACCAATGAAGCGTTGGACAGCCGTTTCATCCTAGTGCGGGACTCCTCAGAAGTTCATACCAACGATCCTACACTTAGGATTCCAATCCAGTATATTCGTTCTCGTGTATGAACGCTTCACCTCTATATCACATAGCTGGCATCCAACGGTGTTAATGTCTAAATTCAACTGATCCACGATGTAATTCAGTTTAGGATTTCTTTAGTTACACTTTACTTATAAAATATTAGAAGTATTTAACTGCGTAAACAATTCAAAAATCGAAGTATCAATTGTTCGCATTGCTAAATCGACGTAATAGTTAGTGTAGGTATCAATACCAAGGTTGGATTTCATATTTTTTAACAAATTG